TGTGAGGGTGGCCAAGCCTGGAGCAGCTGCCCAGAGAGGCTTTGGAGTCTCCTGCTCTGGAGAGATCCCAAACCCTCCTGGATGTGACCCTGGGCACCCTGTTGGAGCAGGGGGGTTGGATGAGATGATCTCCAGAGGTCCCTTCTGACCCCCCCATCAGGCTGACAGCGCTGTCACCCCACTCTTAAAATAGCCAGAGCTGCTCCCAGCACCCCAGGGCCAGGAGAGCTGCTGCTGGAGCCCAGCTGAGAGCCTGGCAGGAGCTGTGGCATGGTGTTAACTCCCCCACGGGCTGGCTCTGCCCAGCAGCACCCTCCCAGCCACTCCTCCTCTCAGTCTTTACACCTAGAAGTTTAAAAATAACTCTGTCAGCTGTGGGATACTCCGAGGAGAGTTGGAAGGAGCCACCTTGAAGGTCTCCCCACGCCTTGAAGAGGAGTAAGGGGGGGGCAGGAGGTGCCCACCACCCCCCTCCCAAGGTGACATCTGGGGGAGGAAGGTGGCTCGCTGTGCCAAAATGTGCTGGCCTTGAGCTTTGCTCAGCAAGCAAAGCTGCAGGGCTGCCCCAGCACCCTCAGGCAAGACCCTGTGGTGGGCACAGGATTGGAGCTGAGCCCTCCCAGGGTTCTCAGAGCTCAGGAGGGTTTTGGGCCACACCAGCCAAAACTCCAACCTGCCCTCGCTTATTGATGGAATAAGTGGGATGGAGGCTGGAGACGAGGGGCTGAACCCTCAATTCAGCCTTTCCTCCTTGTGAAAAACACCCCAAAACCTCCTAAAAACTTCCTGCCAGCCCTAGAGCAACACTGTTGGTAGGGCTGATGAAGGAGATGGTCCATGAGATGCAGGAACGTGGCATCAGCATCATCCCATGGTTCACACAAGCCCCAAAATCACAGATCCCTCCACATAGACCCCCCCCTAACCAACACAGCTGAGACAGTTCTGGACCACCACACCCTTCCCTCACCCCCCTCAGATGCCCCCTTGCCTCACACCTCACCCTGGAAGAGGCAGAAGCCATCAGAGAGGGGGGGAAAAAAAAAACCCAACCAACCAGGAGAGTAAATCACAGCAGAAGCATTTGTTGAAACCAGGATATTGTCTCTTTAAGCACATGAAAATAAGCCCCTTGAGCAGTGTGGTTCTCACTCTGGCTCACAATTACGGGTACTTTCAGCTGTCTACCACTATTTCAAGTGCTCTCTCCAAGCAGGCTGTCAATGGCATGTTGAAAGCTATTTGTGGCTGCTATCGTTATTAGCAAAGTGGAAGAGCTTGGCTGATGAGAATTAAATTCAGGGAAGGGGGATGGGTCCCAACCCCTCTTTACAGAATTCCCACCAAGGATGGACGAGGAAGGGGAGAGATCACCAAGGACCCACCCCTAAAAACCAGCCCCCAAAAGGTCCCACAAAGCCAAGGGGAGGGAGAGGTTAAGCTGCCTGAGAGTAATTCCTTTCTACCTTAGGAGACCTGAGAGTATCACACTAACAAATTACTTGGCTTCTGAAGTATTTAGCAAATTATTACCTGGCACTCCTCGCTAACGAGCACCACAGAAAGAGTATTGTGTTCTTGGAATATTCTAGAAAGGCATAAAAAAAATAGAAATAAAAAGCCCAAACTCATCCCTCTCTTCCTTTGGAAGCACCAGGAGGGTTTAGGTTTGTTCCAAGGGTGAAGTGTTAAAGCCCAAAACCAAGGAGAGCTTCCGTGGAGAGTCCTCAACCATTAAAAAATTCAAATAAAACAATAAAATCCATCAGCACAAAGATTCTCCCCTCTGAGGTGTCTCAATTCCCCACCCAAACATCCATTTTTCTTTCAGAATCCCCATTCCCTCTGATCATCTACAGAGATCTCCACACAAACAACACTAAAAAAAAATCCAGCGGGGGGGTCGGGACCACAAATTCCCTTTGTAAAAAAAAAAAAAATCAATTAACCTTAAAAAAACCCCAAACCAAAAAAAAAATACAAGA